GTGAGAGGCCGTTTGTGGCCACCTTTTTGGAACGTGTGGTAAAGCCCGTGACGTGCAACAGACGCACATTTTCAACGGAATACCTGAAGACCGGAATCTGTGTACGTGCACTGGCCGTACTGTGCCAAGAAGTGCACGTACTGCGACTTCAACAAGTACGTGTCGGCTGAGGTGGATCACGAGCAGAATGAAGCGGTGCCTGGTGGCCGAGCTCCGCCGCAGCTGGACAGCTCCTACATAGAGCGGGTGACGTCCGTCTTCTTCGGCGGCGGAACGCCCTCCATGGCTCTGCCCTCCACGTCGAGGTAGCCATAGCCTGTCGTCTCGTTGCGCGGGGCGCTGCTTGGCTTTGGCGCTAATGCTTTGATCCGACGCGTTACAATAAGTAAGTAAGCCATTTTGGCCGAAGGTCGATTGCCGTGCTTGCCGTACAGCCCTGTAGCCGAATAATGTGCTGGGATGTCCGTTCGCCCGGCGCGGCCCGATATGTCCATGTTGGAGGTTGATATGCGGCGGCCAGCTGCTGATGGCCGACTAGGCGCCTGTTTGGAAGGCGGTCGTGTCGTCGCTGCGAGGCCGCTTGACTCCAGGCGCCGAGGTCACCCTGGAGGCCAACCCCACCAGCGCCACCTACGACGCCCTGGAGGCGTTTCGACAAGCCGGTGTCAACCGACTCTCGCTGGGCGTGCAGGTGTTGGAGGGAAGGGAACTACTGCTCAGAGGGGGACTGGAGACAGGCGCAGGTCACGGACGCTGGTCTCAGCCGTGTCGCCCCAACACTGGCACTGGCCAGGCGACTCGCGAAGGTGACGTACCAACATGGAGCCACCCGCTGCATATCATGGAAGGCTTTACCCCATCAGCCGCCCTCCCCCTCTCCTCCCCCCCCCCCCCCCGTCGCCGTCATTACTCTGCGCTGCGGTCATGCTCACCTCTGCCGTGACTGAGCACTGCTGACCGATGCCGCCGGCGCCGTTCGCCTCTCCGCGGCGATCGTCGGCGGCACCGGTGACCTCCCCGCCCGCTGGCAGGCTCTGGACGACGCCGAGCTGCGCTGGCTGGGCCGGGACCACACGGCTGCCGAGGCGGAGGAGTGCCTGTGGCGGGCGGCGCCGCTCTTCCCGGGCCGGCTGACAGCCGATCTGCTGATCGGCCGGCCCGACCAGACCGCCGCGCGGCTGCGCGCCGAGCTGCGCCGCCCTGCTGCGCCTCTGCCGTCACCACGTGGCGCTGTACCAGCTGACGGCCCCGCGCGGCACGCCGCTGCGCCGCCAGCTGGAGCGCGGCGAGGCACGCCTGCCGGCGGCCGACCGCCAGGCGGCGCTGTACCGGCTGGCCGTCGGCGAGCTGGCCGCCGCCGGCCTCCAGCGCTACGAGGTGGCCAACTTCGCGCGGCCTGGCCACACCGGCCGCCACAACGTGGCCGTGTGGCGCGGCCGGCAGTACGCCGGCGTCGGACCCGGCGCACACGGCCGCCTGGTGGTGCGGCTGCACGGCGCGCGCGTGGCGCACGTACAGACGCCGGCGCCAGAGCGCTGGATGCGCACGGTCGAGGCGGGCGCCGCCGGGTCGGCGCTGGCGCGCCGCCAGACAGCTGGCGAGCTGCGTGCTGAGCTGCTCTGCACGGCGCTGCGCACGCGCCGCGGTCTCACGCGCGCTGATTGGCTGAGCGCCGGCGGCGGCGAAGGACAGGTGGCGCCACCTGCGCGGACACGCTGAGCTGCGCCGTCTGAGCACGCTGCTGGAGGTGTCAGACGAGCGCCTGGCGCCAACCGAGCGCGGCATGGACGTGCTGGATGCACTGTTGCCCGATCTGCTGAACGCGCTCGAGTCGCGCGACGAGCAAGTCACTGAGGACTTGGGCAGGACATCGGTGGCCCTGTCGGGGGAGGCCGCGCGGGGTCTCTGTGACTTGTCGCCGCCCCCGGTCACCAGACAGACTGGTCTCGAGTCACTGTGACGAGCAATGCGTCTTGGAGCCTGATCAGCAACAGTTGCGGTGGCTGGCTATGCGCCGATCCGTGCAGGTACTAGTGTGCAATACACCTCATAGATGGCGGAACACGCCAAACGCTGTCGACACCACCAGGCTGATTGAGATTGCCAAAAGTGAATTATTGGCCGCATAGGAACCAGGGGTATGTGAGGGCTGAGAGCGCTACAGCTGGTTGATGTTGCACTTTTTTGCCGGCCCTCGGGCCGTTTTGTCATCAGCACATACCGGCGGCACCAACCTGCCTAAAGACGTGCAACGGTGAAACTTTGTACGTGGTATGGGAGTCCCTGTTGGGAAGAATGAACTGGTTCGCGACGTCGCTCGTCATACAGTTAAAGTACAGTCATCCGTCCTGTTTCGCATGGATTTGGCGGCAGAAGTGCCGTGGGATATCCACTGAATCGGAGTCCAATAGGGCTACCGCGCACAGACTACTGACGATACTCTGGTACGGTGTCAGCTACCGGAAACCTCACGGAACATATCTTGTTAATTGGTGAGTAGATGCCGTTGTGAGCTGTGTGTGACGTCACGAGCGGTACGTGGCACCACGTTGCGAACTTGCCAGTGTTTGTGTGTGACGTGACTACCGGCTGTGGCGTCGCGGGCATGTTTCTCGGGGTGGTGTTTCCCAATGAAGAGAGGCATATCTTTCGAGGCGTTTGCCACTGGTACCAGGCAAACCGACAAACGCCGCCCAACAGCAAACGGCACCCTGCGCACCCGCGTCTGCGCTGTCTCCGCCTGTCTCCGCGCTCTCGCCGAGCCGTATCTGCTGCTGGCGCTGGTGTTGCCATGACCTTTGCGGTGTGGGGGCCGGCCGACCCACCAGATAGCCCCCACACACAGCGCCGGCGGCAGGGCGGTCGATACGGCCCGGGGTCGGCCGGGCTCTAGCACAGCCCGACGGCGCCGGTCAGCTATTGGTCTGAGCACTCAGAATGACCGCGGCTGGTACTGCTACCAGCCAGAGTGCTCCAATAACGATCCACTGTGACTCGTACCCAAGGCTTTTTGAGAGCCACTGACGTCATGGACCTTGCACTGTTACTATTATCGAAATTGGACGGTCATAATGACCGCGCCTTAAGATAGCCTCAGAAAACAATTAAGGTCAAAAAATGAAACATGACGTGGCCGGAAGTCGCTGATCTGTCGTGGAATTCGCCATAAATGAAATGAGCCCTCGTCAAACTTGTCTTTAATAAGTGACTCATGCTTGGTTGCTCTTCGCAAAACCTGATGAAGTGTTGGGTCTCATTTGGACTGACGAAGCATACACCCCTCATCTGTGCACTCGCTAGGTCCAACCTAGCCTCAGCAAGATTCGACGGGCTCTAGGAAAGGCGGGCTTCAGAGTGCAGCATCCGTACAAAAATGGACGTAATGGTCCTGACGGTGGGCGGTACAGGCGACACGACACCACTCCCCGAGCGGCAGGGGGGCCCACCGTCGGCGGTCCCCACTTCCCACATCACACTCGCGGTGATGGGGACGTGGAAATGGCAGCTGGTCAGCTGGTAGGAGCGTGGGAGGGGGTGCAATTACCCTGAACCTTAACCCGGTGGTGGTGTCGGGGAAAGGAACACCAATAGACAGCGTTTCGAAAGCATTCCGCCGCTGAGCAAATCGACGCTGCTGTACAGCTCAACAAGCATAACCCCTCCAAGCATATGTCTGTAACAGCTGGTGACCTGTTCGAGACAAACCGCGCCAGAGACCCACAGATGCACCTGTCATGGCCGCGCCGACAACGCGCCGTTCATTGCCACCCCAGTACCTGATGTGTCCGTGTTTCTCGCTCGTGTGCCCGTGTGTGGGGAGGCGCTGCAGACCGCCATCGGAGCCGGGTCTGAGAGGTCATGCACTTTGCCGCTAAGCTCGTGGCCAGCGTCCGCCGCTGCGACCACATTACGCCAGCATTGGAGACGCTGGGACGGTGCAGCGTGGCGGAGATGGTGCACCGACGTGCCTGTGTCGGTGTGCACCGTTCATTGCATGTCGGCGGGGCGCCCACCGATCTTCACTCGTTTGTCTGTAGGCGCGTGGAGGCCTCCCACTGTCATACAGGAGCCGCGGACCGTGGCAACCGTTCACTGCATCGAGAACGTGTCCGACTGCCTGCCAATCAGCGGCGGTTTCCGTACCCGGGTGGCTGCCGCACGGAACTGCTTGCCTCCTGTGGCGGCCCACGCTCCATTACGGCGTGCCTTCTCGCCTGTCTTAAAACTCTGAATTTGTCTTGTAACTTCTGACCTTAGGAATGTCTCTCGCACACCTTTATGTTGTAACGTTCTTGTTAGCCGACTGGGGGCAGAGCAGCCACCGCATGTGGCATTAATAATCGAACATCGCCAGCAACCAGGCATCAACAAGACATTCGAAGAGACACAAGGCTTGGTTGCCGCAGTTTGCCAAACTCAGCCGGCTGCGCGCGCGCTCGGCGGCCTGCCGCCCGTGGCAAGGTCGCCGGTCGCGACAGACGCGGCTTCCGAGACCCTCCCGACTGTGGCCAAGGTCGGCCGTCCCACCGAACCCCATGTCGGGCAAACCAGCACCCCGTGGCTGCTATCGTCGTCACGCATCGAGGCATTGCATAGAGATTCAACTCACCTTCTCACCAAACACTGACGTGGATTGTCGGGTGTGGGTGCAGCGCAACACCTTCCGTCTTTTTTAAAGGGTAGATGAGTTGCAAACAAGATAGCTCGCGAAACAACCCATGCAAAAATGTGAAGGATGAGGGTACTCACATCCGTCGACTCCTTGTGGAACCGTCCATAAGTTGAATATGGGACACTCGTTATTCTCAGCGCATAGTGACGCGCCACGCTTGGCTGACCCTTGGCCAGCACCGGGGGAGGAGCGCTGTGGCGCGTCTAGGCCGAAGCGTCGTACGATATACGAGATCCTCGCTGGGTGTTGGCTGGGCTGGGCCAGGCTGGGCCTCACTCAGGCTCGGCACGACTCAGACATGCAGCCTCGCCGAACAACAGAGACGGTCCGCTCCCGCATCCCTTGGCGTGTATTAGGCGAAGCGGACGTCACACCGGTGTCACAATGGTACACGACTAGCGGCACAAGTCAGCCCAGACGCAACAGTGACCTGGTCTGCTGCACCAGGGGTGGCGACGGCAGCGGGCAAACCGGTCCCGCTCTCTCAGAGCCGGCGCAGGCCTCACCACCCGCCCGCATCGCATGAGAACGTCTCGACGTGATGGGCACGATGGGGGAGCGACTGCTGCCGAGCCGGAGGGCAGCCACACCCGCACCACCGCTCGCCAGAGACAGAGCATGCACACTGCACAGGCAACGGAAGTCACCGATAAGTAGCAGTCAGTAAGGCAAGATAGGCTGACACCGTTAAAAATACACGGACTTCTGCACCAAAGGGCAATATTTAAGAACACGAGATACAAGGCATTACTGCAAAAATAAGCTACCAGTCACCATTGAATCCTCACTCTCTCACGAGAACAATCCCGTAGGGCCGGCATGGCAAGACCCCACGGCTTTGGTCACGTCGGCGTCATGTACCCTGGCTGCGGGCTGTGGCTGCCAATAACCATCCGGTTCCCAGAAACATGTAAAAACACTCCCGCAAAAAATGAGGTTATTTCGCAGGCGATACCGCTGGCCAATCATCATCGGACGACGGCCGCCAATGTCTCGTCAACATAAGTACCACGGCGCGTGCGCGGTGGCCACCACGGCAGCGACGCGCGCAATGTGTGCGGCTCTGGCGCCGCTGCATCGTAACCATTCTGAGCACCGCGCTGAGAGATCGGGGAGGTATTCCAGAAACGAATGAGGTTTCACTGACGCCAGTGAACCGATCAGGACGAAACAGCGCCCGTCTTCGGTAAGATATCGGGCGGCATGACGCATCTCCCGGTCACGACAGTCGCAGCGCTCTCAGAAGCGCCTCCGCAGGCTGCCGGCTGAAAGGGCCGGCTAGCTGCAGCTTCACCGGACCCAGCTCCGGACCCACACTTACTGTCATCGCCGGTTGTTTAAAGCTGCTGCACGGTTTGCAGTGATTGCGCTCCAATTCTAGCTAAATATGAACACCACGCGCTGTGCCCTCGGCGTGCGAGGTCAAATCCTCTGCCTTGCTAAAATACCACCATCTCAAAGAGCCAAGCACCAAGTGCTAGTGTGAGGAATGACGGGTTGCCCTCAATAGAGGCACGATAGAAGAGACTAGACGCGTTGATCCCGGCTTGGACGGTAGACAGATCGACAGTGGAACAGCAGCGTCATCACAGGTCAGCCGGTCACGACGGACCGGGTGCATAACAGGTGACCGCACCACAACCAGCCGCCTGCGGGTAGGTCAGACCGGCGCTCATCACGCCGCCGTACCGGGGCCCGGCTACAGACGCCCGACTCCCCTCGGCCGTGAACGGGTAACGGCGCAGCAACACATACCGCCAGCATCACGGGCCCGGAGCGTGCGCACAGATGGCTCATCTCAGACCGCTGTAGACAAGCGATCTGGTCATTTGCAGCCTGACCGCCGACCTCCTCAGATCGTAGCACTGTGACCTGAGCCCGGGTCGTCTCCAGATTACAGCTGCCGTGACCCGCCCCAGTGTGCCCCCAGCCTCGCCCTCGGTGCTCCACTCACAGCTATCTTCAGCCGCAAGCTCGTGACCTAATCCGATGACCCCGGGTCATCACAAACGGTGACCACAGTGGCCCGACACCGTGCCATGGCGGCGGTGTCCTGCCTCCGGCTCCGGGCGCCGCCAGCCTGCGGCCCCAGCCGGGACCAGCTCAGGCCGTCGTCGGACAGAGGACCGTGTCGTTGATGCTGGAGCCGAGCGGCGGCTCCGCCGGCCGCAGCAGCTTGAAGTCGTATTGGCCCTGCTTGGGGTAGTCTCCCTCGGGCCCGTGCAGCGCTCTCTGGCGGATGAACTGGCGCACGGCAGCCGCGTCCACGTGCGCCATCTCCATCCGGCAGCCCCAGGCCACCAGCGCCAGCGGCTGCCGACGCCACACGGACACGGTCAGTTGTGCGGCGGGTGGCGGTGCGGCGCCAGGCACGGCCGTCATGGAAAGCCACCGGGCCCTCCAGACCCGCCCGCCCCGGCTACGTGCAGCAAAACATATCCCGACCTGGTCAATGGCAGCATGACTTATTCAGCATCTGTGTTTTCACGCGTCAGCCGGTGTTTTCTGGCGGGCTTTGTACCCTGGCATGATGAAACAGAGGGCGCGCGATGAGTGCGAGCCGGTCGGTCGGGCCGCAGTGAGCTACCCACGCGCGCTGCCGAGAGGGCCGGGTACGGCGTGATGACATGCTTCCGGATGCAGCCGCGCACCAGCTGGCGCAGCTCCGCCACGGCCTCGTAGTCGGCGCACGGATGGTACAGCATGATCACCGAGCCGTGCTGCAGGGCACAGCCGCCGGTCACGGTACGGGCCGCGACACTGGCAGCACACGCCTCACTTCAGCCACGGCACCGGGATGGCGCGAAACAGGATAGCAAGTTGTCCCTGCAAACCACAGCTGGCAGTCCAACACGGCGCCCGATCGTTCAGGACTCACATCGGGAGATAGCAGGGAAAAGCATGACAATGCAATGTACGCATCCATAAGAACAGCGAGTGATACAAGTTGCGAATATCATGCAAACTATGCCGGCCCGGAGCAGGCCATCTATGAATGAACAGATCGGCCGTCCGCGACAGAAGGGACCCTCTGACGCCGGCCGGGGGGGGGGGGGGGGGGGGGCCTGATGAGGACATGGCCCTCTGACACCGGCCGGGGAGATGGCCTGATGAGGACACGCCCCAGCCGGCCCCTACTGCCGCTCACCTCGACGTTGTGCAGCCAGCGCTGAGGTGGCACGTACAGGTACTCCCCGAACACGGCCCAAAGCGGTCGGTGGGGCCCGCTGCAACACGGCGCCCGTCACCGGCGCAGCTGGCGACAGCTGAGCTCGGCCCTGCCCGCCCGCCCACACACGGCCAGGCCAGGTCCACAGCCCGTGCGACGGGCCACGCCGCGCACGCGCAGAGATCGCGGCACAGGCCGCCAGTGCGCCGGTGGCGGTGACACGTGACTGGCGTGTGGCGCCACGCAGAGCTGTCAAACGTTCGGAGGCAACGGACAAGCTGCCGTGTGACCTGTGCCAGGCCAACTACCACGCCTGAGCCATGCACGGGTAAATGGCGGGCCTTGCAAATGCTCACGCAAGAACCGTGGACATGAGTCACCTTTGTAGACTTACTCATTACTCACAAGGCATCAAGTAAACTCTCCTTCAAATACTTACTACGTAGGAATGGTTTCGTTATAGACGATCTTTTGCTTCATACAGATGTGGCGCGGCTGCCAAAGAATACAATAGAATCAGTACATCAGTTCTAGTTGAAGTGCAACGGCTCCACCTCCTGACTTCAAGGTACAAGAAGACTCTCTGAACTTCAAGGCACAAGAAGACTCTGAAGAACCCAGCTACAAAGCGGTGCCAGTTTGTTCGCGATGCGATTATACAAGAACACGGTAAGTGCCGTCGTATCACGCCAATGCAACAACCCTTTTCCAATATTTCGGTACCACGAAGGCGTCATGCGCGATACCCTACGTCATGGCTTCGATATCGCCAGGCGATGCCCTGCGTTCTCTTAATACGGTACTGAGGTCACGTGGCATGGCAGCCAGAGATGACCGGTGTCCACACAAGTACAGCCTTCCAACGACACCCCACCAATGGGCTATGTTGTGCCAACAAAAAACTTGTCAGCAATGACATCAACACCAGCTCAGAACCACTGACCACCTGAACACCCTTGACGGCAGCCGTGGCACGGCGGCCGAGGTACCCACCGGTGCACCGCTGAGGTGGCCCGGTCCGACCCGGCCCACAGCCCGCGCCCGGCCCGACCCGGCCCACAGCCCGCCCCGGCCCGACCCGGCCCGATTCGGCCCACAGCCCGCCCCCGGCCCGACTCTGCCTACAGCCCGCCCCCGGCCCACAGCCCGCCCCAGGCCCGGCCCATAGCCCATAACCCGTGGCACATATCCCACGCTGTCGGCCGGTCCGCACGGCACGGTCCGGCCCCGGCGCGGCGGAGTGCGGCCACAGCCGCGGCCGTATACGCACGTAGTACGTGGAGGCCAGGTGGACGCAGCTGTTCACGGGCGGCAGGTCATAGCGCACGGCCAGCCGCCGCTTGTACGGCAGGAAGCAGGTGTGGGGCACGGGCGAGCCGGCCCAGTCCATCGCCAGGGCCGTCTGTCGGCCGCAGAGGCAGGCGGTCACGTGACGGCTGACCGGGCACCACTGGACAGGCGTGGCAGGCGGGGCCGGGAAGGCTGACCGGGCACCACTGGACAGGCGTGGCAGGCGGGGCCGGGAAGGCTGACCGGGCACCACTGGACAGGCGTGGCAGGCGGGGCCGGGAAGGCTGACCGGGCACCACTGGACAGGCGTGGCAGGCGGGGCCGGGAAGGCTGACCGGGCACCACTGGACAGGCGTGGCAGGCGGGGCCGGGACGGCGGCCGACCGGTCACACAGTACACCAGCACCAGCCCGCGGCTGGCCGGTCACACAGTACACCAGCACCAGCCCGCGGCTGGCCGGTCACACAGTACACCAGCACCAGCCCGCGGCCGGGCGGAGGTGCACCTTCCGGATGGCGATCGCACCGGCTCACACGGTCAGATAGACCATGGAAGCACCTAGATAACAAAACATGCCCTCAAAAACAGAATCGGCTCGAAAGAAGTGGTGGTGAATTAGAGGGGGCAAAGGAAAGACGGGTCAACGATTGCCTTTGCTTTCCGTCCCCTGCCGCCTAAATGAACGATTTGCCGCCACTGCGCCGCACATTAAGCCTTGTTTGGTTGGACGCCGCATTTTCGGCCACTACAGTACGCCAGCTTAAGGTTGGGCAGCTCACGTTTGCCTCCCATCCTCTGCTCACTCACTAGATTTTTCACTGCTAAAGCATGTGCTTACTTGTAGCGCGCCAAGCTTACTTGTGTGCTCAATGGTGGAACGAGATAGTGACAAACGATTTTTGACAAACAGTGACAAACGACAACCTGCCTTCTGACGTCAACTGATCTTTAAAGCAGCCGCTGCCACCGTCCGTGGGCTATTCCAGGCGGGAGAAAATGACGAGTGTCTAAAGCGACTAGAACTTTGAAGACATGGGTGGTGAGGCAAGCGTTTTTCCTTTGTTTTCTTTCGCGCGGCTTCAATGCTAAATTCAGATTATTTTTATGAAATAGTGGGGAAGAGGGATTCCCTGATCTGTCTGCCTGCATCCGGCGTCCCTGAACGGGAAGACACGTCCGACGATCTGCTGCGAAACGCTGGCCACCCGTCCGCCGGGACGCTCGTGCCCCGTCGGGCCGGACTCACCCGGCCGTCTCCAAACACTCACCCGTCTACCGGCCTGTCCGCCGGGACGCTCGTGCCCCGTCGGGCCGGACTCACCCGGCCGTCTCCAAACACTCGCCCGTCCACCGGCCTGTCCGCCGGGACGCTCGTGCCCCGTCGGGCCGGACTCACCCGGCCGTCTCCAGACACTCACCCGTCTACCGGTCTGTCCGCCGGGACGCTCGTGCCCCGTCGGGCCGGACTCACCCGGCCGTCTCCAGACACTCACCCGTCTACCGGCCTGTCCGCCGGGACGCTCGTGCCCCGTCGGGCCGGACTCACCCGGCCGTCTCCAGACACTCACCCGTCTACCGGCCTGTCCGCCGGGACGCTCGTGCCCCGTCGGGCCGGACTCACCCGGCCGTCTCCAGACACTCACCCGTCTACCGGCCTGTCCGCCGGGACGCTCGTGCCCCGTCGGGCCGGACTCACCCGGCCGTCTCCAAACACTCACCCGTCTACCGGCCTGTCCGCCGGGACGCTCGTGCCCCGCCGGACCGGACTCACCCGGCCGTCGTCGCAGCGGTCGGTGGCGACGCCCATCTTCACACCGTGCTTGCTGTCGTAGAGGTCGCGCGGCGGCGCCGGCGGCGGCACGGCAGCACCAGCCGCGGCCAGCAGGGTCAGCGCCACGCTCGCCCAGCCCCACATCGCTCCAACGTCGGTGGCGCAGTGACAGCCGGCGAACCCCGCGGCAGCCGGCGACCGATGGGGGCGGGGCGGGGCCGCCTGGCCGCGTCACGCCCACACGGGGGCAGCACACTCGGCCGCAGCAGGCAGCCAGGCCTCTAGACACAGCTGAAAATGGCAAAGTAACCACATATTGTGGATGCACACCAACACTGAAATGTGCAAAACAGCAAGTATTGTGTAAGGTACAACTAGCAGAATCAAGATAGAAAGAAGATGGTAAAATGATTGATTTTGACAAGACCTGATTTTGATACCAAATGCAACATGGGTATCACGATGTCTCTGAGATGTGGGGGAGGGTAACAAATCATGACTGAGAGGAGGGGGGGGGGGGGGGGGAAGGGGGCACACTGGAATCTGGAAGCTTCAATCTTATCTGAAAATGGTAAGTCAGTATTACAATTTTTCAAATAGGTACTTACTAGGTACCTAATTGGAATTGGTGGACATCAGACATTGAAAGCATGCCATCTGAATACAAAATTGGAGGGTAAAAAACATTATTTAAAGCTTGAAGAAACATGCACTCCTGCATCTGTGGTTACACCAATGTCTACCCCCAGCAGTTACACCAATGTCTGCCCCCAGTGGTTATACCAATGTCTGCCCCCAGTGGTTATGCCAATGTCTGCCCCCAGTGGTTACACCAATATCTGACACACAAAAATTCATGTGTGTTCTAAACTTAGAACCAATTTGCCCTTACACCTTACCATTTATTCATCACACCACAGTGGGCATGTGTGCTTTAGTTACATGGTTCACTGAGAAAGGAAGTTTGGATGGAAGCTGATGGCAGTGTGGCTGTGAGAATCTGGCCTAGGTGATGGCTAATAATCAGGGAATGGGAGACAGTATGTATGTGCTCTATTTGCTGCAAGCTGGGGAGGTGTGCAAGGACAGCAGGATTGCTAGGCAATGCCTTTGGCATTAAGAGACAATAGGCCTTGTGATGCTGACATGTGACAATTCCATTTAGAAACACGAAACTGGCAGTACTCAGGTCAGAAAAAACACATTTCTGGCATAGTAGCAGTCATTTCAGGAAAATATGCCAGCCCACAAAAAATGAGAAAAATACAAAAATTATCATATTTTAGTCTGGTCTGAGCCTGATGTATGCATGCATCGGGCTCCACATATCACTGCTACATAGAAGTCCTATGCATCAGATGTTTTTTAGTTGTTGGCTGCACTGGTACACAATCAGTAATTGAGAACAGTGACATCAAGGAAGTAAAAGCAACAAGGTTTTGCACATTGGATACGGCTAAGTTCAGTGTAAAGAGAACATGCTGAATGAAATGGGCTTTGATGATCATTGTAGAGAAGGCATGATACTAGATCCCTACTGGATGAGGTGTCATGAGTAACCAATCAAATGTCATTTATCTTGAAAACACACAGCATGCCTACACATGAGTATAAACACACCAATGTAAAGAAACTGCTCCAACATGATGTTATATAACCAGTGTCTGAAACTTGGGTGTTTCTTTGTATTTTGGCCGCAAGATATTTTGCTCTCCACAAATATACACTGGAAAGAATGTAAGACATTGGTCTCCGTAAGGAACATCAGATGAAGGCAAGCTGCTCCTGAAACTTCGACAGCATCGCGTGCCACACTCACACGACTACACAAGAGACACTGCTTGCGGGTTACAGCAGAACCTCTCTACCATATCACATACAATATTTCCTTGCAATGTACTCCGTGCCCAGGTCCGCACCTTCCTAAGCACCAGAGTACCGCCCAGCCCACTCCCCGTCCAACAACTCAACACGGTCTCGAGCCCAAGGCTACTAGAAAAGGCCACGCAGACGTGACGTCACCATGGAACTAAAATTTGGTAGCCCGTAGCATGTTTTTGGCTGATACTACATGAAGGCTAGTAGATAATAGTAATATGCTAACGACCGGAGATTTCGCCCATAAACTGCGTATTCATCCAGTTCTAAATCCTAATTTTAATGCTATGTGAATAAATATTGTACATTTTGCATTCGTAACCTTCTAAAAATAAATCCGTTCTATGACCTGCCTCCAAAAATAGATCCTACTAAGCCACATTTCATAGATTTAGTGCTCGCGCCACATTCGTCGTAGTCAACGTGCCAGGACATTTATATGTAACGCCTCTTTGTGAAATGTATATTTATTCATGAATATATGGATATGATTCGCATGCTTACATTACACCTATAAACGGGCAATGATTGTCTATTTACTCGTAGGTTAACTTCCAGACCCATAATGTCGGATGGGTTTGTTGAAAAGGGTATGCAGGGAATAATGCCCCGACTACCGTCATATATCCCCTAGACTATTTCCCAGCTGAGATATGGGCCACCATTCCTTAACCGGCGAAAGTTGTAAATCTTGCCAGAAATCGTCCCATTTTAAAGAAAATCTGTTATTTTGAGCTGAAATGGAGCACCGCATTAACGTCCCCCGGAGTCCTCTCACTGCCTCCACTACGGTAAGCCAACCCTGAATCCACCCCGGCAACGCTCCTCCTAAGGCTACAGGACGTGCGTCGCAACTTCTCAACGATGAATGATGCAGATGGTCAGGTTCGCAGGCCGACCCCGGCTCGCGGCCCCCGCTGTCGGCAGTCGCCGTGAGGAGAACAGAGAGGGTAGGTGCACTGTCAGGAGCTGCTGTGGTGCGAGACTAAAATACAGAGAAGTTTTGGTGAAATACTTGGCGTCTCATTACAGGCTATTTCGGCGAAATGGCGACCGGATTTGATGTGAGACTGATACCAGAGTTCAGCGGTGCGAGTGGTGCAGATGTGGTGGACTGGCTTGAGAAAGTGGAGCTGATTTGTGGGCTGCAAAAGCCCCCAGCGTGCGAGGCGTCAGTGATTGCCTTGCGGCTGACGGGCGGCGCCTCAGCCGTGTACAGGCAGCTGCCAACTGAGGACCGGCAGGACGCGAAGAAGGTCAAGGACGCCCTGAGGACGGCATTCGGCGCCGACAAGTTCGTGGCCTACGGGCTGTTCACCTCGCGCCGGCTAAGGGCAGATGAGACGGTCGACGTCCACCCGGCCGACCTGCAGCGGTTGGCGTCGGTGTTCGGCGGCCTCAGCGACGAGGGTATGAGTTGTGCCTTTGTTGCTGGGCTGCCCGACGCTACCAGGCGCACGCTGCGCGCCGGTGCTCGCCTCGAAGGCCTGTCGTTGCCGAACCCGGTGGAGAGGGCGCGGGCCGTCCTCAGGGAGGACGGCGCAGCAGAGGTCGCGGCAGCGGCAGTTCAGCGAGGGCGATCGACGGCAACACGCTTCACCTGTTTCACCTGTGGACAGGCCAACCACCTGGCCAGGGACTGTCTCAGCGGTCTGGGTCGAGGCCGTGGGCGTGGACGACGCGGTGCTGATGGGCGCCAGGGAGGAGGAAGACGCTGCTTCCGGTGTGACCTGATAGGTCACGTGGCCTCATGCTGTCCGGGAAAGGACGCCGGAGAGGCGGCGTGATCGCCAGCCTCCTCCAGCTCTGCAGTAGACGGCGCTCTACCCACCGCGCGGCTGACAGTGGACGGCACCCAGTGTCGGGCGCTGGTGGACACCGGCTGCTCCGTGTCCATTGCTCACGTCTCTGTTTGCCACCGCTGTAGAATGCAGCCAGTTTATGTGATGACCCTGGGTGGAGACAGATACACGTGCGAGGGTACCGGACAAGTAACTGTGAGAACAGTGTCGGGTGCGGCCCGAATAGAGGTGCCTGTAACTGTCAGTAGGCCGCTGAACTTCGGGTTCATTCTGGGAATGAACGGCGTGAGGGCACTTCGGGACGTGTCCGTCAGTGCGTCGAATGCAGTGCAGTTCGGGGTCGACGCACTGCCGGCAGGGTCGGCGTCTCCGGTAATGGCAGCGGCTTGTGATGTGAGCGCAGCCGCCGCCGTGTCATCCGAGCCGGCCGGCCATGGCCGGGGTCAGAGAGAAGCGAGTGACGTGGGCGCGGCGGGCGGCGTGTCATCCGGTGCTGAGAATCGTGCCGACGTGCTGAGCTGTGTGCCGAGAGACTGGTTGCGTGACGATTCAACCTTTGAGCGTACGACGCCGGTCGGAGGTTGTGCGGTCATAGCAGATCGAGTGACGACCGATGGTCACGGAGTCGGCATGGGACCCACGAACGGTTCCACCGAGCAGGGGACAGACGGCCGCGCCGACCTTGAGATGGCGACCGCTGACATCCACGCTGGTGCCGGTCATCCAGGGATCCGACGGACGCAGCTTTATGCTCGTCGCGACGACGTTTCGTCGACAGTGACGCGGTCACAGGTGAGGAGTGTGGTGAACCGTTGCGGCACCTGTCGCTCTATCTACCCAGCGCCGGTGACTTGGTCACACTGATCGCTGGACGTGCAGGATGTGTGGTCACGGCTGGCGATCGACGTGACTCACTTTCGGGGGCAGTGCTACCTCTCTGTAGTAGACTGTGGACCATCTCGGTTCAGTTTGTGGCGGCTGCTTCGCCGGATGCCAGCTGTGCTGTTGACCTGCTGGAACATATTTTCCTGGAGAGAGGTGCACGTGTGGAATTGTTGTGCGACAATGACACCGTCTTTCGAAGCAGGCAGTCACAGGCATTCGCGGCACGATGGAGTATTCGCCTGCGGTTCCGAGCCGTGCATGAGCCCGGCGGCAATGGCATTGTTGAGCGAAATTATCGCACTGTTAAGGTCATTGCCGCCAGGAAGCAGTGCTCTGTCGCCGAGGCGGTGCACCTGTCGAACGTGACGCCGCGTGACGTTGAGACTGCGGCCAGTGCGCCGGCGGCCGCTGTCTATGTGTACCCTGTGCGGGATTGTGTGCGGCCTGCTACTGATCAGCCGGTGATTGTCGAGCCGCGAGAACCATGTGACACCGATCGGTATGCTGTTGGAGACTGTCTGGAGAGTATACTGTCTGGGTTCGTCGTCGGGGGACACGGTGTACGGAAACGTCACAGCCAGGAGTGGTGTCAGGCATCATTTCAGACCAAGTGATGGAAATTGACGGCGTACCGTAGCATGCACGAAATTTGCGTCGTAGGGGCGATAGTGCTGCCGAGATAGGCGAAGCCGGTGACGGAGGCGCGGATGACAATGATAGTTTGTTCGTGGGGGTGCTTGTGGCTGAAGAGGCTAGTGATGCTGATCACTTTTGGAATGCTACTGGTGCTGATGATAGTGCCGGTGTGGCTGCTGACGATGATGCCGGTGTGACAGACGACGGTGACGCGCGAGTGTTGCCGCGTCGGAGCGGACGAGAGCAAAGGCCCGTGTGATTGTATACTTGTTGATCATTAGGATCAGGGTGGGGTGTGTGTAGTGCAGTTGTACTTTGTGTCCTGCGCCCCTGCTGGGGCGGGGCGCGGCACGTGGTCAGGTTCGCAGGCCGGCCCCGACTGCGCGCCAGATGCGCGCCGCCAAGGCCGGCCCCGGCTCGCGGCCCCCGCTGTCAGCAGTCGCCGTGGGGAGAGCAACGAGGGTACGTGCACCGTCAGGGGCTGCTGCGGTGCGGGACTAAAATACAGAAAAGTTTTGGTGATATACTTGGCGTCTCGTTACAGCCGTCGTTTCTCATCTCCACCCCATGTTTTTGTTGCGGTTGTCGTGTGTTGTACTCTTTTAAACAAGCTGCTTATAAGCACTTCCGGCCAGAGTCCTCCGGGATAAATCGCTGGTAAATGGGTGAATATGTCACCCCCATCTCTCTGTCGGGGTCAGACTGGCAAGCGCATTTCAGCAAGAACTTTGTAGCTCTGGTGCAAAAAAATGTTATTTGCCAGCTAAAAATGCTTCATTTAATGCGCTAGATGTTCACAAATTTGGTTTATGAGATTTTCCTGTGTTTAAGCCAACCCGCAAACAGCGTTTTCACTTGGCCGTAGCATTGGTGCCATATGACTTAGTCCCATGATGACGTCACGGCATCGCTACCCAGAATGCAGTAATACGGGGCTTGGTTAGTACGAATAATTGCTAAGAGGGGAACCGTGTTTGGTACCAATTGGTGCTAAAACTGGTGGATCGCGTAGATACCAAACAACACAGTCCGGTAGCCCGAGGCTCAATGGAGGAAATGAGGCTATGTGGAGGTGAACCTCCTGAATTTCTTTTCGTTCTGTGGGAGTGGAAAACCTTCGCTATGTTGGCATCCCAATTCTCATTTGATTACGAGTTGCTTCTATAGAAGGACGCGGACGGTCGGTCGGTGGTCAGTGAGGGGCATGGGCAAGCGTCTGGGAAACGTGCCCAGAGGCACTTCCACGTAATTTGCAGAACAACATTTTGTATCGGATGAGAATGATATCATTATATCCTGGACTACAGGGCCTGGGTCCTGCGGGTAGTGCGGAAGATGGAAAGGGCTTTTCGGCTGCAGTGGTCTGCATTAGGCATGGGTTTGGCTCAAATTTCTT